CTTTCCTGTCCTCCAGGAGGAGCCGCGGCGTGCGTCCGCAGGGGTCAGAGCCTTTCCTGCCCTCCAGGAGGAGCCGCGGCGTGCGTCCGCAGGGGTCAGCGCCTTTCCTGCCCTCCAGGAGGAGCCGCGGCGTGCGTCCGCAGGGGGCAGCTCCTTTCCTGCCCTCCAGGAGGGACTGCAACTGGCTCTGCCTTCGGGATTCTGTGGTCTGGAAATGGTCGGCTCCTCCAAGATTGACGTCCTGGGAGCTGATCCCGAAGGTGACAGTGTTGAGAGGCAGGGAGCTCATGGGGGGCTGGTGGGATGTGGGGTCGGGGCAGCACCCTCGCGGTGCGCTGGTGTCTTCCTTGGGGCAGGGATGGTTCTCTAGAGACTGGATTAGGTTCTTGGCATGAGCTAGGTCTGGTGGGGACTGGCTCAGTTGCCACAGGCCTGGTTGTTCCTGAGCAAGCCGGGCTCTGCCCTGCTCTTGACACACGCCTCCCGTTTGCACATAGCTTCCCCTTGGACTTCTCTGCTGTGTTGTGAGGAGACATGACACAAACCCAACATGGAGAGCTGGGGAGATATGGGCACCAGGTCCTTGATTGCCTCAGCTCCAAGATCTTGAGCCAAAACACGTCTCTTCTTTATAAAGGATCCAGTTCTGGGTATTTTGTTACAGCAACACAAAGTGGGCTCACAAGCCGAGTCTGAAGACAAGAGGTGGGTGGGCTTCGGCTGCAGGAGGACACAGGGATTCCCTAAGCTGCTCTGCTGCTCACCAGCTTCCTGCTCTGAGGACTTCTGCAGAGGCCAGGGATGTGAGGTGGACAGGCACAGGGCCTGGGAAGGGCATCTCACTTCAGGTCCTCGGAAGCAGCCAGCCTGAACCCCAGAGGTGCTGCCGAGATGGGGATGGCCTGAGCTGCTGCCGCCGCCGAGGGGCGTCCACTGCTGGGAGAAAAAACACAGCACAGCCAGGGCCTGGGGAGGAGCCCTCCGTCGACCCCCTGGGCCCACCGTGGGCTCCACTTCACAGCCAGCGTTCAGGCTGTGCCGCGAGGCTTTCCATCTTCTCTGGAAGTCGGCAGGGACCTCCATGCAGCCCCGACACTGGCCTCCTTCACCACGGGTCATTCAACACCTTGCAGGTCTGCTGTGCCGTCCACCACCTCCCGCGGGCACAGGAGTGGACACTGACTCCTGAGGCTCTGTGAGAAGAGGCCATGAGCCGGTCCTGCCCACTCAGGAGAACTCACTCAGAGCCTGTGCTGCCCCAGAGGGGCCCGAGCACCTGAGGCTAGCGCTGGATGGGCGGCAGGCGACGGTCAGTAGCAGGGCCTGCGGGGCCAGTGCCCACTGCATTCTCAGCACATGTACCAGGCCAGGGCAGAGCGGCCTGTGGCGGATACAGCCGCGGCCCCTGGAACCCCACTCCAACCTTGAGGAAGCTGCTCGCTGGCCAGCAAGCCTGTCTGCTGACCAGGTGGTTCTGCTACAGTTGGCCTTTGACATTAGGCTGGTTTGTCAACCTTAGGTTCTGGATGTGCCTGTGATCACAGCTGTCCCTGACAGTGGCTCGTGTGGGTGGGGGACCTGCGTGACTCCACATCAGCCAGAGCTGCCCTGTCCTCCTCTGCCTTCCCGGCTGCTCCTCGTCTGCCTCCTTGTCGTCTGCCTCCTTTTATTCACAGATTTTAATTTGGTGCTTTACAGATACACAGGAGGCGTGCAGAGTGGGCGTGGCATAACGGGTCAATTCCATCTGCGTTCCTCCCTTTCCCGCCCCCCTTCCTCCTCCTGAGTCCCCTTCCTGTACAACCCGACCCCCACTCTGTTCTCATGGGTTCCCCTTTTTTACTTCTTTCTACCTTCCACGTTTGAGGAAAAGCCGTCACTTGACCTTCTGGCTGCCTGATTTCACTCTGCATGATGTTCTCCGTTTCCACCCATTTGCCTGCAAATCCATGATTCATTCTTCTTTCTGGCTGAGTAGAACTCCACGGTGTGTCTCTACCACATTTTCTTGATCCATTTTCTGGTGACACACAGCTGGGCTGGCTCCATAGCTGGTCCATGGTGAATGGTGCTGCTGTCAGCATCGGTGTGACTGTGTCACTGTGGGTGCTAACTTTAGCTCAGGAACAACACCAAGGACTGGGAACTGGATCAGATGGCGGCTCCATTTCTTAGGTGTGCTTTAGTCAATTTTTTTTTTCCACTGTGACCAAAAGACTGACAAGAACGATTTAGAGGAGGAAAAGTGTATCTGGGGCTCACGGTTTCAGAGGTCTCAGTCCATAGACAGCGGGCTCCTTCCGCAGGTCATCATGGAGGAAGAGTGTGGGGGAGCGAAGCAGCCGAGAGAGAGCCTCCCTCACCAGGGACAGCCCCGTGAGGTCCTCCTCAGCCACACCCCACCTGCCTGCAGCCACCGCAGCTGATCAAGGGGGAGATGCAGTGCTTGGTTCAGGCTCCCAGAACCCGGTCATCCCCCCCATCCTTCCTGCCTTGTCCCACGGGGCTGGGGGACACCCACATCTGCACCGCCCACCTCGTTCTTTGGCCACTGACCACACTGCTTCCCGAGGGGCTAGCCTCGTCTACACCCACAGGACGCCCGGGTGTGCTTCCCCAGGTCCTGGCCTGCGTCTCCCATTGCTGTGCCCTGGGTGGGGGAGGAGAGCTGGCCGTGAGGGGCACGGAGTGTCTGGATTTGTAGCCCTCCGTGCCAGGGAGGTGGGCCTTCCGCTGTTTTTTAAGTGACATTCTTGAGAGTCGTCAAGACCTGGTGACAGGTAGCCAGACGCCCTGTGGCCTCTGCCTGCTCCAGGAGGAAGGGCCTGGGTGCGGTCCTGTGGGCACCGCCCCTCCTCGCCTGCCCTCTCCCTCCACAGCCCTGCCCCTGACTTCCCTTTGCTCTCACGGCCTACACAGAAACACTGACATGTTCCTGGGCCCACTGTGCCCACTACCTCTTTTCAGGGTGTGTAGGAAGGTCCTGTGAGATCATGGTTGTCCTGCAGGTCGGCGGAGCCCTGGCCATGGGGACACTGGCAGGGGGGACCCTTGCCTGACTCCAACACTGCTGGCTGACTCCGACGTGCTCCTCCGAGCAGCGACCTTGGAGATCACCTGTCCCAGAGGACACAGTGAGTGCCCTGCCCAGGGGCTGTGACATGAGCAGGGAGGCGCATCCGGTGCAGGGAGGAGCACTCAGTGCAGGGAGAGTACCCAGTGCAGGAAGAGCACCTGGTGCAGGGAGGAGCACTCAGTGCAGGGAGGAGCATCCAGTGCAGGGAGAGTACCCAGTGCAGGGAGAGTACCCAGTGCAGGGAGAGTACCCAGTGCAGGGAGAGCATCTGGTACAGGGAGGAGCACTCAGTGCAGGGAGAGTACCCAGTGCAGTGAGAGCACCTGGTGCAGGGAGGCGCATCCAGTGCAGGGAGGAGCATCCAGTGCAGGGAGAGTACCCAGTGCATGGAGGAGCACCCAGTGCAGGGAGAGCACCTGGTACAGGGAGGAGCACTCAGTGCAGGGAGAGTACCCAGTGCAGGGAGAGCACCTGGTGCAGGGAGGCGCATCCAGTGCAGGGAGGAGAATCCAGTGCAGGGAGAGTACCCAGTGCAGGGAGAGCATCTGGTACAGGGACGAGCACCCCAGTGCAGGGAGGAGCACAGTGGTGCAGGGAGAGCACCTGGTACAGGGAGGAGCACCCCAGTGCAGGGAGAGTACCCAGTGCAAAGAGTACCCAGTGCAAGAAGAACACCCGGTGCAGGGAGGAGCATCCAGTGCAGGGAGAGTACCCAGTGCAGGGAGGCGCATCCAGTGCAGGGAGAGCACCTGGTACAGGGAGGAGCACCCCAGTGCAGGGAGGAGCACAGTGGTGCAGGGAGAGCACCTGGTGCAGGGAGGAGCACAGTGGTGCAGGGAGAGCACCTGGTGCAGGGAGGAGCATGGCAGTACAGGGAGAGCACCTGGTGCAGGGAGGAGCACGGCAGTGCAGGGAGAGCACCTGGTGCAGGGAGGAGCACGGCAGTGCAAGGAGAGCACCTGGTGCAGGGAGGAGCACGGCAGTGCAGGGAGGAGCATCCAGTGCAGGGAGAGTACCCAGTGCAGGGAGAGCACCTGGTACAGGGAGGAGCACCCCAGTGCAGGGAGGAGCACAGTGGTGCAGGGAAAGCACTGGGTGCAGGGAGGAGCAC